TTCTTCTATGTTTAATGGGTTCCTAATGCTTAATTTTAGGTTAGACAACGAATGATCAAATTAGGGAATTAGGAACACAAGGTTAGGACCAAACACCATGGCCTAATCATACTTTAGCTAGAATCAATCTTTGAATCTGAATTAGACTTGTTACTTGAATCTTTATAACCCAGAATTGAATTGTTATGGTGATTCGAATGCCCTAGTCTCAAAATCTGTTTTCCAACTCTTAAAACCACTCTTTGTTACATTTGTTTACTTGTTTTTGTTTGCAATTTCATTTTGCTTCTTTTGTTCAACAATCACAACCACTCTTGTTTTAAATTCTGTTTTAGACATAACCTCCTACTTTCTTGAATTTGGTAATCTAAGTACATAACTAGTTTTAACTTCTCAGTCTTCGTGGGTACGACCTCGTACTTGTCTTGCTATACTACTAATTGCCCCGTACAATTGCGAGTTAACATAATATTAACAACAATAGGTCCCTGCCTCTGTCAAGCATCGAATCACAAAAGTTCTTGAGCCCCATTGAGATAGATAGAGTGATATATAGAGCTTGTTAAAGTGGTGGAAGACTTGTCTATTGAAACAATGGTTTCTTGTATAGGTATTTTGTGTATTATTTGTAAGTATGCTAAGATGTTATAAGACTAACATGTGGTATCAGAGCTACAAGTTTTATCATACTTATAATACCTATAAAGGCAGCAGCGTTTTCAGGAGGATAAACCAGATTCTGCAGTTTTTTGTTATAGATTTAAAAATTACTTTTATGATTGGGTTTACTAACCATTATGCAGGAAATTATATAGTCAATCCATTTTGTTGGTTATGATATATCAATTTTACAAAAGAAAAGGATTGAGTCTATAATACATATTGAGATATAGAGAATAGTTTTGCCAAAGCAAAGATGTTCTATATGTTTTGGTATGTGTTAGCATAAAATAGTGCATGGTTTATGAAAACTATTTGAAATTTTTTTGCTCAAAAGTACAAAAGTCTCAATGAAAGTGAATTAGCATGTATATGTGCATTGGTTTTATGATCAAGTATTGCATATTAGAAATTCAAAACAAATGAATCCTAATATGTTTCCAGTTTTGGGGAAAAGATAATTTACTCTAGCATGTCCTATTTTGCATCTTTAAACCCATCCTTTGTGAGTCACCACACAATTGTTCCATTAACTGGGACAAACTACAAGAAGTGGAAAGAGGATGGGGATGTAGTCCTAGGAATTATGGATATGGATCTTGCCCTCAGAGAAGATGAACCAGCAAGACTAGCAGATTGAGCAAGTGCTACTCAAAGATCGAAGTATGAAAAATAGCAAAAGGCAAATAGGGTTGCACTGATGATCATCAAAAGATCTATGACTGATGTTGTTCGAGGAGGTGTTCCTGATCTCAAGGATGCAAAAGCTTATTTGGGTGCAATGGAAAAGAGGTTCCAACGATCTGGGAAAGCAGAAACCAGTGTGCTTATGTGTGAACTGACAACAATGAGGTATGATGGGGCTGGAAGCGTTAGGGAGTACATTATGAAATTAATTGAAATCTCCAGCAAACTGAAGGAACTAGAGGTATCTCTGTCTGATGCTTTTCTTATGCATACCACTTTGAATTCATTGCCTGTCGAATTTACTAGACTGAAATCAAGTTACAATGGTCAAAGAGAGAAGTGGAATTTGAATGAACTCATAGCAATAAGTTTTCAAGAAGAAGATAGGATTAGAAAGGAAAAAGTGGATCTCACAATTGACATGATAACCAAAATCAACCCTCCAAAATGCTACCTAAATGAGTCTGCCAAAAGGGATCCGGTCAAGAATGCTCACTCCCCTAAAAATACTAAGTACTTTAAGGCTAACAAAACATCCAAATTTAAGTGTTTCTTCTGTAAAAAGCAAGGGCACATGAAGGA